GTAGGCGGCGTGGGGGTGGGGGGTGGAGGTCATTGACACACACGTGTTCTGAACTGTTCTGTGAGTTCTCACAGGGGCTGGAGGGGAGTTAGGGTCTCCACTCTCCCCACCCTGCCTCCATTCAAAAGCAGCAGCTTTGTTCACCCATTTTTTTTTTTTTGTAATCAGTTTTACACTGGGATTTATGTAAGATTTTATTTGAACAAAGAGCAGATGGCTTAAAAACTGGTATGGGTGCTCCCCTGGTGGTCCAGTGGTTAAGAATCCACCTTCCAATGCAGGGGACACAGGTTTGATCCTTGGTCGGGGACTAAGATCCCACCTCCTGCAGGACAGCTAAGCTCTGGCGCCACCACTACTGAGCCCACGCGCTCTTCAGCCTGAGCACCACAACTGGAGAGAAGCCTGGCAACTAAGACCCTATGGAGCCAAATAAATAAACAGATAAATAATATATTTTTTTAAGTGGTATGTATATTTTAAAAAATCACTGTACTAAATAATCTTTACAGTCATTTCTTCTAGCTTCAACATTTTGGAGTTGTTTTTTTTTAAACTAAGATAGAAAGTAAGTTTTTACCAAAAATAAAAAAGTTTTTAAAAAGATTTCTTTATTAGCTGCAGTGGGTCTTCGCTGCCGTGTGCGGGCTTTCTCTCGTGGCGGCGCGCGGGGCTGCTCTCCGTTGCATGGTGTGGGTCTCTCATTGCAGTGGCTCCTCTCGCGGAGCACGGCCTCTAGGGTGCTTGGGCTTCGGGAGCTGCAACTCGGGGGCTCAGCAGATGCAGGGCGCAGGCTTAGCTGCTCCACGGCACGTGGGATCTTTCTGGACCAGCAATGGAGTTGGTATCCTCTGCCCGGCAAGGCAGATTCTTAATCAGTGGACTACCAGGGAAGCCCAAAGCTAAATCATTTCTAGCTGAGCAGCAAACCAGGGTAAAAACTTTGCTTGGTGAAGAACATCAACCAGAGTGGTTATTTCCAGAGTCAGTGGTGAGTCACCACCACCTTTAACTCCAGCATAAACACCGCACTAACATGAAGTGGGATCAGGTTAAAGAATCAAACATAATATTTCATTTTTCTGCCTTTTCTGTGTTATTACCGAAACGTAGGTGATACTTATTGAAAATACTAAAAATACTACAAAGAAAACTCAATTCACAGGATTAAAAAAAAAAACAACTAACTTTATTAGCTTTAAAAACAAAACTGTTACCATTAATCACAAAGATTTCCCCCAAAATTACATTCTGCTTTTGTCACCTTGACAAGACAAGGAATGTTTAAATGTCCTCAAAATACAGAAGAGCCAAAGCTGACAAAGTACTGCAGACTATGAATCACCACTTTAAGCATACTAAAAGGCAGAATATACACATATGAATTATCGACCAGTTTTTGGAAGTACAGTAATATTCACTACAGATGATAGTAGCAGAAAGGTTAACGTGCCCCGAAATGTAACACAAGATAACAGACATCTGCAGATAAAATAATAGTAAATCTGACTCCTGCGTTCAGTTAACACAGAAGTGAAATGGTGGAGAAACATTTCTTGGACTTGGAGGCTACGCACAGTATAGGAGGAGTGAAATCACAGGGCCCCCACTTGGGCTGAGAAGTGGTGGGAGGAGTGCGGCACAATAGCAGGGCCAGCCACCTTTATCTCTCCTCCGTCCCCGGTCTGAGTTAGAAGCCTGGGGACTGAATAGAAAACAACACGGAAAACCCAGATTAGGTGCAGAGATGTAAGTCTTCCCTTATGACAAGAATGGAGAGTCAGTCAAAGCCACGCAGGAGTTCCAAGAGCCTGCAGAACATGGTTTTGTTTCGAAAGGAAATGTAGGTTTACAGGAGAGACCACATGACTGATTTAGCAAAAGGCCTTCAAATTTTTGTTTAAATGGACAGGGATACTTTGACTCAGCCCAAGCTTAGCTCTTTTTAACCCTAGCTGGAAAGTTCTAATTTGACCGTTTTTATAATTTTTTGATCAGTGAATCTAGGAACTGGAAATTTCTGTTGCTTTTTTGCTTGTATATTCGTTAATAATGACACTCTACAAATTATTACAATTTCCCCCTGATTCATGGTTAAAAAACAATGGCATTCCAATGAAGGGGCTCTGACTGACCCCACTCCAATGGAAGTTTAAAAAACATGTATTTATCAAATTGTTGGACAAGGTTCATAAATCTTATTCTTTAAATTTGTTGAACCTTTTAAAAGACACAGTTCTACAACATGGACTTACTTCTTAAACTAGAAGGCAACTACTTCTCCGAGTCTTTAGTTTCTTTATATTAGCATACTTATCGTAAGAAATTCATTTCCTTTCCTACAGGAAGATAGAAATGCAAGTGAGCCAAGAAGGGAAAGACTGACCGATCTCACCTATAGGACAGGTATGAAGTACAGAACTCTGGAGAAAAGAGAGACATCCACCAAACAGTGAGCCTGACACACCAAAGAATTTTGTCGTTTTCAACGCTTAATTATGTTTTAGATTTTCCCTTTTAAAAATAAATCCACGGACTGTAAAGAAGTCTATATAAAAACATGAAGCACAGACCAGCCTTCAGCCGTTACCAGAATTCCATCTCACACACACTGAGTGAGGTGCCCTTCCACTGCACGCTCTTTCCAAATCTCATTAGATCTCATTCTGCTTCATTACAGCCATGTCTCAAGGATGCCTATTTATACTTTAATCTGATTATTATGAACATCTAGGAAAGCCCACATAAAATGTCACCACAATTCCTGGCTACCAAAATAACATTAAGTAGATTCTAAATCCAAAGGTACAATGACAACAAAAACACAGAACATGGAACATTAAATTCATTCATTGAAATTACTAACTCACTGACATCATCAGATAAGATTTTTCTTACTCATTGTACCTCACTGGGGAAAAGGAATTTTTTCCCCTTTTGTTTCTTATGGCTGGTTATCGCTGCCTCTGAGTGTCTTTAAGAAGTCAATGCAAGAAAAAGTAGACACAAGCCACAGCCTGGAAGTTGGGACTGCCAATTCTAGAACCTGGGCTGCTTTCTGTGGGCTTCATAGCAAGTCACATCTCCTGCTTTGTAATCTAAGCAACACGAGGATTCAACTACATGATTTCCTCCACCTCTGTAATTGAGATTCTGAGAAATCAAATATTTTCACCTTATATCACATTTTAAAAAGATGGGATTAATGCGAATGGGAAAAACAATCATATTCTAGAAGAATGAAAGTGCTAGACTGACACTATCTCCTGGCATCTCTTTGATTTGAATAGCCCATAAACGAAAAAGTTTATTTAAACTTTTATGTTATAAACAACAAAGTCCAATTGTATAGCATGGGAAACTATAGTCAATATCCTGTGATAAATCATAATGGAAAAGAATATAAAAAAGAAGACGTATCTGAATGTATAACTGAATCACTTTGCTATACAGCAGAAATTAACACAACACTGGAAAATCAACTATATTTCAATTTTAAAAAATACCCTTTATGTTGAACTTAAAAGTTCCCAGTAGCTTTTACTTGGCTCTTAATTACTGCTAGGTTTTAGTGACAACATTTTGGAGAAGCAGAATGTGAAAAGACTAGTTTGCTTTCACCCGATTTTCAACTCTCCAAGGCAAGGGAACTGTTTTTACCATTTCTGCCTCTTAGCACCTAAACTAGTAGATGCTCAGAGGCATACACTTCTAAATATAACAGATTCACTTCTGGTTTCGGCAGGTGGGTAGACAGAAAGAATCTAGACCGCAAGAGCCCATGCACTGCAAGTTCTGTCAACTATTTTTATTGTCTTATGATTTTATCTTCTACAAAAGTTTTTCCTAACAAAAAGCATCATCTTCTCTCCTCACAATTGCCTAACCTGATTCCTGAGATTATGGTGTCTAAAGAAACCATGGCAACAGTTAAATCTAAGTGATGACTCGGTTTCAAAGAAGAAATGTAGACAAAACTTATTAAAAGGTACTTAAATAAAAGATGAATGAGACTCGTCTCTCACAAGATGGACACATGAATTGGATACACAATAGTAAAAAAAGATCAGAGATCATAATACCTGGGGAGATTCTGGTTGATTTCACAATATTAAAATGTTAATGGGTAGGAATTGCCTGGAGGTCTAGTGGTTAGGACTTGGTGCTTTCATTGCCAAGGGCTTGGGTTTAATCCCTGGTCAAGGAAATAAGATTCTCTCAAGCTGTGGGTTACAGTCAAAAATTTTAAAAAGTTAATGGATTTAGTAGTTTTTCTTTCAGAGCTCATGTTGTGGAAACACTATACTAGAAAGAACAAAAATATTAATGTTTTCCATTCAGAAAAGTTGCAGTGGAAGACTGGAGTCTTAACCACTGGACCACCAGGGAAAGCCTCAGAAAGTTTTACATATATTAAATTAAAAATATATTATTTAATATATACTTAATCTTGGTTTGAGTTTTTCTTCAATTTATTCAACATTGAAAAAAATAAAGAAAAGAGAAAAAGAAATATTCAGGTAATTTGCATTGTTGGGGTGTTTCCCTGGTGGCTCAGGCGGTAAAAAATCTGCCTGCAATGCAAGAGATCTGGGTTCGATCCTTAGGTTAGGAAGAGCCCCTGGAGAAGGAAATGGCAACCCACTCCAGTATTCTTGCCTGGAAAATTCCATGATCGGAGGAGCCTGGTGGGCTATAGTCCATGGAGTCACAAAGAGTCAGACACAACTGAGCAACTAACACTTAAATTTGCATTGTTGGACTATAAAAGACAGTTTTAAGTTAGGGATAGAATATTCTTTAATTGGAAGGTAGAGCACGAAAGTCAAGCCAAATAATAAAGCATCATGACTTTTGATCACTTAGAAAATTACAGTGAATAAATATTACCTAAAAGAAAACTCAAAAATTTCCAAATGTTGAAAATACATACATTTCCTGACTTACAGAGTTTGTTCTGCAATGATAAGTTGGTGCATCTAGATAAGATTAAAAACTGGTTGAATTTAGAACTGCAAAGTAAATTTATTAAGTGGCTGCCAGTTAAACTGCCAAATAATAAATTTAATAAGTTTAATAAGCTGCTTGCAGAATCACAAATTTCAACTGAATTTTACATCGAGGCTTACCAGTGGTGGATATATACAAACAGAAGAGTTGATCATCTTAGCATATTTTAAGGTAAGGAAAATATAGAAAACTTTTTTTTTGCAATAAAGTTTAAGTCCTTAGAAATAAATTCTACCACAATAAGAACATCTAGACCACAGAAACACGTTACCAAAAATGTTTCGAAAGCATGATCTGAATTTCTACATTTTTCTTTCGTTGTTGTGGCAGCCACACTGGTTTATTAGTCCAAACTCACAAGTCCTCGCACAGACACAGCGAGGAGCCCCAGACACTTGTCTTACAAAGAAAACGATGGAGGGAGCAGAGAACCAGTATGGCTACCTGATCTGAAGCAAAGCATTCTTAGTTACGACACTTTTCTACAAAAAGGACTTCGAAATTCAAACAGACCACAAAAGAGTTAAGAAGATGTCTGTTCAATGATACACCCTCAAACACAAGCAGGAAACAATTCTGTTTTAAGGGAAAACGCCAACGGGAAGCCACGGTAAACAAATTTCACCCAAAAGAAACTCTGACCAATGAATTATCCCTATCTGTTACATCTTTCCCTAACTCACAGAAAAACAACGTGTGTGACTTCTGTGTCAAAGCCAACAGAAAAATGTTTGAATGGACAATTTAAAAACAGTCTTTAGAAAATCTTATCAGTACTTTTTCTGATTTAAAGTCTATGAATGATGACACACAAATATGAATAATGACCACTCAACTGGTGGCTGAAGACAGTCCAAGCTACAGGCCAGGATGTGTCACAAATGGGACAGTGTGGCAGCCGCATGAGGTCACAGGCATCAAGGTCACAGTCATCAAGCTCACAGGTGATGTGTCTCGTTCCCAAAGCAGCAGCTCTTTGCCTGGGCGGCGTATCAGGAACTGGGGCCTATTATGGATCACTTTGTGATGAGAACAGTGTGCACGTAGATTTGGGCACCTTGATCTGACAGTTGAAGGGAACTGGGCATTTCTTCCCCAAAGCTAAAGAAAAAAAAAAACCACTTGAGAAAAAAAAATTATTTTCTATGAATTATTCTCTATGTCAGGTCTCTTTCTGGGCCAAAAATTCCATGTATATTGAATAGCGATGAATCTTTGACCAACAGACTTGTTGGAAGCCAATAGACCGTTACAAACATACCTGACTAGATTATTAAAATTGTTAAGACTAATTTTTTTTTTTAATTGTAAAACTATTTTTAAGTTCTCAAAAATGGAACTGCCCTGGGTGACTACAGTTTTCACTTTGGGGTACCCCGTGCTATCCAGAATCAGGGAAATCAATGTTTCTGGAGGAAGCCATTCTCCTAATTTGCTGTTTAAAAGTGGTCAAGAGCTGCCACGTGGTGGGGGCTAATCCTTTAAAGTAATATGCTGTTCAGAACATCAGTTAAAAGCTGTGATTTTAACTGATCAGTTAAAACTGCTACACCGTGTTCTACTGTCCCCAGTGCGGGTGCTCCATGCCCCCTGGCCTCCCCTTGGCGGAGCAGTGGCCAAGGTCACCGATGGGCATGTCCCCGACATCCCAGGCCCGGTGGGCAGCGGCTCCGCGCCGCGCCACCAAAGCCTCAAAGCGCACAGTCGAAGGCCCGGGGCTCGCTCAGCGCTGCGGTCGGAGGTCCTGGGCGCCGCGTCTGGGTGATTTTCTGTTTGGGGTTTTTTGTTTCTTCTTCCTCTTCAGTTTCACTTTCACAGACATGAACCACCACGCTTGGTGTGGATTCGGTTCCTGCGTGAAGTTCATATTTCTCTCCTGCGGAGGCAAACAGCAAAGGAAGGGTTCTGAACCTTGACACTTCAGTTCTACACATGTTTTCACTGCTGATTACTGGCTTTTCAATCTGTAAATTCTATGTCATGGTACTTTATCTTGTTTAGACATTAGAGAATTGATGCTTTTTAAGGTTCTTAAAAAATTTTGGCATTTTGAGAAATTAGTAGTGAGGAGTAATGAGGTCTTGGGAGTTAAAATGCAAGTGCTAATTACTCTTCTGTGAACAATACAAGTATTCCTGCTTAACTTCATAATGGTTTCTGGGTTCCCCTTGGGAGACACCTGTAAGGTTTCAGACAGCATCGGCAATCTCTTATAGGACCTCAGGGATCCAAGATTCAGCTCTCATGTCTAAAAACAACTCTTCAAATGCCTTTTGTATCCCCTAATGTTAATGAAGACACAACATTATTTTAGGTGGGCAACTACTATGAACCAACAACGGCACTGATTTATTGTATTATTTTAGAGGAATGAGAGAGAGAAATTAAACAGAAGGAAAAGAAGATGGGAAAAGAAACCCAAGAGAAGAATCTGAAGGGATGATACGGTATCACCACCAATTCCTTGATAAACTGTTCAGTGTAGAAGTTGTCTGTCTGCGATTTTGATGGCAACTAACATGCTCTAATGATCTGTCATGTACTAGAATGTGGAGCAGTAAACTGCAGTTAGATTTACTATTACGTATGTATCACTTAGTTCTCGTGTGTGTGTATGTGTGTGTGTGTGTGCGTGCACTCAGTCTTGCTCAGTCGTGTCGAGCTCTGTGACTCTCTGGACTGTATCCCACCTGGCCCCTCTGTCCATGGGATTCTCCAGGCAACAATACTGGAGTGGGTTGCCATTTCCTTCTCCAGAGGATCTTCCCAATTCGGGGATTGAACCTGCATCTCCTGTGTCTCCTGCATTGACAGATTCTTTACCACTGTGCCACCTGGGGAAGCCCTTAGTCCTTAGAACCATGTTGAAGGGTAGCTCCTATAATCCCTATTTTAGATGAGAAAGCAGAGGCTCAGAAAATTGAAGCTAAATAACTTGCTCAAGATCACAGTTAGCAAAGACTAGAAATCTGAACCCAGGTTTGTGTGACCCTATCTTCCATGCTGATCATGTTGCTGTTCATTGGCTAGAACACAAATAGCTGAATGTAGGCTTTAAAACTTGGAGAAAAAAACAGGAGAGAGAGAAGCTTGTTACCTGGTCCCAACTTGGAAACAGCACAGAGTAAATCATAGTTTATAACAGGTGTTGCGTCTTCCCCCTGCTTCCAGCCCACCGGAGGTGACGCAGGAGGGGAGATGAGGAACTGCTTGGCAGGTTGGGGTGGCTGTAAATAGGACTTGTCCCGTGTTTCACTGGGCATCTGTACCTGCAAGGAGAGAGATGCTCACAATTTATGACCAGGCCATGTTTTCACTTTCATCTTCCCATTAACTATAACATCTCTTTGGAGAAAATGTAAAATTTCTCTTTGACATGCTACATATCTTCCAGTGGCTGGGCCAGAGTCTGTCTGGTTCACCACTGAACACTTAGTGCCCGGCAAAGAGCATTAGGTGCCCAATAAATATTCGTCAAATAGAAAGAAAAATCGATGAGTAGATGAATGGACAATGAATCGTACTAAGCACTGAATTCCAGTTTTAGAAGAGATTAGGTTATACTGTCACCATCGACTCCACCAAGACATGTCCAAACATAGGTTTCATTTGTAATGTCAGACAGCAAACCCCATCTTAATTTTTTTTTTTTTGAAAGCTAGACCAAGGGGAAAAAAATGCTTTGTTAAAAATAAAACAGTGCACTTAACAGCTGTTCTAATGCTTTTATTTCACTAATTCTTCCAAGAAGTGATTGGTTTGTCAGAGTCCTATCAATGGAGGATTAGAATAATAAGGATAGCCAATTCTCATTAACTTGCAGGGTCCTCCGCAATTCCAAAGTCTAGGACAGCCTTTCTGTACATTCTCTGTCTGCTCCCTGCTCACTCCTTGGGCTGGGAGCCATTTTCAATAGGGCGCCTCTTAGGAATCACAGCCCACGGAAATGAGTCCAGAGGCTGCTTTTCTCACATCTTCCAAGGATGTCCCATCACAAGTGCCATTCTAGATGACAGGAGAAAAGGCTTAGGTGTTCCCCAGTTGAGAAAAGCTGCCAGAAAAAAATGAAGCCCTCTAACTATTAGGCTAAGCAAAACAAAGTTAGGAGGGCAAATGTGCTTACTAAATGTATACATTTATGTATCTGTAAAACAAAGGAAACATAAGTTTACATGACTTGCTGATTGGGATTGTTCATTTCAAAGACCTCTGATACGATAATAGAGAATACGGAGAGTGGACAGCATCGTTGGATGGAGGAAAACAAGTTCAGCCCACGCTGCCCTCTGCACTATGAAGTCAGTACCTGTGCGAAGTAGAGCTTCAGCTTCCTGCCATTGAAGTCTGTCTCGTGGAGTTCTATCCGAGCCCGTGCCGCCGCCTCAGGCTTGCTGAAATTTATTCGGACTCTTCTAAAGCTTTTGAACAACTGAAACGTAACTTGGTCATCATAGATGGTGAAAAGCGCTTCAAATCTCTCCTACAAAGTGAGGGGCAGCACAGCAGAGAGAATAAGGGCGGGGGGGGGTGGGGAAAGGAAAACCTTTACCAAGAGGAAATTTAAATCATTAAACATAAGTAGTGGAGTAGAATTCATTATAATTTGTTTTTTTCCCCAAAGAAGCATTCTCTTCTTGTAGGTACACAAGAACAGGTGTCCTGTTACTGATATGCTAAATTCTGCAGCTTGCAATTATTTTAAAAATAACTTTATTAAATATTATATTATGTAGAGTTCATATTATAAAATCAAATGTAAAGTATTATAAAATGAATGTAAGGTATAAAATGATAAAAACATGCCCAATGATAGAACAAGAATATCACTATCATTTTGAAGTCCTCAGCATGCCAGAGTTTTTAACCTCCATCCTATTCCTTTTTAGATTCAAAGTAATTATTTTCTGGAATTTCATGCTTATCTTTGTTTTTCTTTATAGTTTTACAACATTTATAAGCTCCCCTAAAGATTGAATCATGTTGCATATATTCTTCTATAACTTGCCTTTCTTCCTAAGATGCTTCCTTGTTGCTGAGTGTAACTAACTGTGAGCCACCCTCTTCAGGACTGTATAATATTCCATTGTACAGCTATACCACAATTCCTCTAATGCTGCTGGAATCTGGACTGCCTCCAGTTTTTGCTACTACAGTGCTGTTATGAACATTCTTGGTGCCCATATGCATGGGATTCTCTGGTGTGCACACTACAAGTGGGATCACTGGGCCTTTGTTGTTCAGTCACTAAGTCATGTCCCATCTCTGAGACCCCAGGGACTACAGCACACCAGGCCTCCCTGTCCGTCACTATCTCCCAGAGTTTGCTCAAACTCATGTCCATTGAGTCAGTGATGCCATCCAACCATCTCATTGTCTGTCGCCCCCATCTCCTCCTGCCCTCAATCTTTCCCAGCATCAGGGTCTTTTCCAGTGAGTCAGTTCTTCATATCAGGTGGCCAAAGTACTGGAGCTTCCGCTTCAGCATCAGTCCTTCCAGTGAATATTCAGGATTGATTTCCTTTAGGATTGACTGGTTTGATCTCCTTGCCGTCCAAGGGATTCTCAGGAGTCTTCTCCAGGACCACAATTTGAAAGCATCGATTCTTTTGTGCTCAGCCTTCTTTATGGTCCAACTCTCACATTCGTACATGATTCCTGGAAAAACCATAGCTTTGACTATATGGACCTTTGTCTGTAAAGTCGCGACTTTGCTCTTTAATACACTCTCTAGGTTTGTCATAGCTTTCTTTCCACGGAGCAAGCGTCTTTTAAGCATGCGTCCTGGACCTCAACACTGACATATCTTTTACTTTAGTAGATGATGCCACATAGTTTTCCAAAGTGTTTGTACCAATTTACTGTCTAAGAGTGAAAGTGTGTTCTGGTTGCTTCATATCTATGCCAAAATTTGAAACAGACCTTTAAATTTTTACCAATGCAAAGTAAGAAATATGAAATAGGCTCTAATTTTGGTTATAATTCGCGTTTCTTTGAAAAATAAAGACATTGAACCTTTCTTCATGTTTATGGGTCTTCTGGGGTTCCTCTTATCATGATATAGCTTCCCAGGTGGCGCTAGTGGTAAAGAACCTGCCTGCCAATGCAGGAGACAAAAGAGAAGCAGTTAGATCCCTGGGTTGGGAAGATCCTCTGGAGGAGGGTATGGCAACCCACTCCAGTATTCTTGCCTGCAGAATCCATGATACACATGCTCATATCTTTTGTCCATGTTTCTATTGGGTTGTCTCTTTTAACTGAGGAATGGGAGTTCTATAGAGGTGCTAATTCTTTGTTAAATATAGGTGCTATAAATACTTTTTCCCAATTTTGTTTTGAGAAATACAAGTTTTAAATTTGAACCTTACTAAATGTATCCATTTTCTTCCTTTTGTGTTGTGTCTTGAGAAATCCTTGTATATTCTGAGATCACAATGATGTTCTCCCAGATTGTCTTCTTATAATTTTATGATTTTACCTTTCATATTTAACTCCATACTTTCCATAAAACTAAAGTGTATGAGATGCCCACCCCACTCCCACCAGTAATCACCATCTTTTTTTCTAGCACTCTAGATCAGAGCATATTTTTTTAGTATTTCATATAACTGTACTTTTGGCGGGGGGGGGGGGGGAGGTCCTGGGTTTTTCCCCTGAGCATAATCATGTTGAGAGTCATATTATTGGGTTCTCTTTTATGGTCCTTTTTATTATCAAGTAGAACTCCACTGTAAGGATATTTATGCAAATACCCTGGGTTGTTACTAGTTTTGAACTATTTCAAATAAAGCTGCTATGTACATTCATGTACAGGTTTTGGGTAGATATATGATTTTATTTCTTTTGGGTAAATACTTGAATCATATGATAGGTATATGATCAACTTTTCAAAAACTACTAAACTGTCTTTCAGAGTTGTTGTATATTCACACCAACAGTGTATGAGAGTTCTAGCAGCTCTGCATCCTCACCAGCACTTGGTATGGTCAGTCTTTTTAATTTCAGCCTTTCTACTGGGAGTACAGAATTATCTCACTGTAGTTTTAATTCATATTTCCCTAATGATTCCTGACACTGAGCATCTTTTCAAAGTATATTTGCCATCTCTATAACTTTGTAGGTCAAATCTATTAAAACCTTCCCCAATTTTTAACTTAGGCTACCTTATTAAGTGATAAGAATTCTATTATATATTTTAGATATAAGTCCTTTGTCAAATCTATGTGTTTTAAATATTCTCCTTGCTTTCCTTTTTCATTATGAACAGTATTTTTTTAAAAGCAAATTAAAAAAAAATTTTTTTTAATGAAGTCCATGTGTTGACTTTAAAAAACTACTTTGTGCTTTTTGTATCAAATGCAGAAATCTCTGCCATACCCAAGGTCACTAGGATTTTCTACTATGTTTTCTTGTAGATGTTTTATAGCTTAGTTTTTACATTTAGATCTAGGATCCACTTCAAGTTAATTTTTGTATGTGAGACAAGAGTCATTGTTCACTGTTTTCTTTCCCCATATGGCTATCTCTTTGTTCCAGCACCCATGTTGAAATGATTATCCTTCCCTCAGTACACTGAAAACTATTCAACATAGTTGAAAGAAATTAAAGACCCAAATAAGTAGAGACACACACCACTTTCTCTTCAGGGAATCACCTGTTTGACATTATTGATTCTATGTATATTTACTCTCTATTTCATTAATTTCTACTCTTTGTTCTTTGAGTTTTTCCTTTTTCTATGGCCTTAAGATGGATGCTGAGTCTATAATTTTTCAATTTTCTCCTTTTTAATAGAAACATCTAAGGAATATATATTTCTAAATATTATTTTTTAGCTATTCCCACAAGTTTGAATATATATTACTTTCATTATTATTTGATTCTAAATATTTAGTTTAATTTCCATTATGATTTCTTCCTTGTCTCATGAACTGTTTAGATATTTCTTAAATTCCAAATAGGTGGGAGATTTTGCTTGTTATCTTTTTAACATCTAATTTATTTTCATTATGATCAGAGGTTTTTATCCATAAGAGATTTCAATCCAATGTTTTTGAGACTTGCTTTTGTTACAATATTTCATCCATTTTCATAAATCTGCTATGTGTGCTTGAAATGTCTTTCTGCAGCTGTTGGATGCTGTACCATAAATATATTCAGTATATTAAGCTTGTGTTCTTTAGAAGAATATAGAATATAGAAATCTATATACTGATTTCTTTTGGAGGGCGTGTCTATTTGAACCACTGATTACCAAGAGGTTTCTTAAGACTTCCCACTATTAGGTGGATTTATTTTTCCTTGTAATTTGCTCACTTTTGCTTCATACATTTTAAGGGATATGTCTGCCAATGCAGGAGACTCAGATTTAATCCCTGAGTCAGGAAGACCCCTTGGAGAAGGAAATGGCAACCTGCTCCAGTATTCTTGCCTGGAAAATCCCATGGACAGAAGAGCCTGGCAGCCTAGAGTCCATAGGGTCACAAAAGAGTTGGATATGATTTAGCGACTAAACAATAAGAAAAACAAAAAACAAGTTTAGAATTGTTTTGTCTTCCTTGTGGACTCAATCTTTTATCATTAGTTAGTAGTCTATTTCTCTAGGAATGTCTTTTGCCTTAAAGTCTGTTTTGTCTGATATTAACACAGCTGCTGTAGCTTTCTGTTGGTCATACAGTTGACTCTTGAACAACAAAGGGGTGAAGGCCACCGACCCTGCCCCGTTGAAAGTCTGCATATAACTTTGCAGGGGCCCTTCGTATCCACGGTTCCACACCCATGAATTCACCCAACCACGCAGACTGTGTAGCACTGTAGTTTATTGGGAAAAAATCTGCAAATAAGAGGGCCTGTGCAGGTCAAATCTGTGTTGTTCAACAGTCAACTGTATATTGCACAGAACTCAATTCCCATCCTTTATTTCTGAACTTTATGTATTCTTTTGTTTTAAATATACCTCCTAAAAATGTGTGTAGATAAATAGCTACTTGATAATCACATCCCTCTTCCTATTTCCTTTCAAAACAATTGTTAAAATCATTCTGGAAATACACCAAAACTGAATGTAACATCCAGATGACAGCAATGAGTTATATGTGTCTCTCTCTCTTCTAAATCCCCACATGTGTGAACTGATGAAGAATTAGTAAAAAAATGAAGCCATGCAGGAGTTGATGAGAAAGTTTTGCTGTTTCTTCCCCTCTCTTTCACATGCATTTCCCCCTTAATGTGGCATAAATACAGCTTATGAACTGTGTGACTTTAAGCTCCGAGGTGAGCAGAAAATATGAAAAATTAACGTAGAGGCGAAACTTTTGCCGTTTCCTATTGGAGGAAAAAGGTAAGCGCCCTCAGCTGGTAGCTCCGGCCCTCACTGTGTCCACAGACAGCACGTGGGTTCCTGAGCTGTCCCTGACATCCCGGCAACAGCGCAAAGGGGCTTCAGAAGAATGGAGACAGGCGGTGAGGGCTTCATCTATGGAC